ACAAAACACACAAATCCAACACGTTTCTACTTGTACAACGCAGTGACACTGGTGACATTGATTACACTCTTGAGTAGTGCAACCATTCACCCTACATTTCTGAATTGCTCCCCATTAACATAAACTCACTGCCCTCCAACTGTCCTAGCTTATCTCTCACGTTGCTGTTTTAGATTTGATTCCATATGAATTTGGAATTTACAGTTCAAGATAGGCTTTTTTTTAATTGGTTAAACTAAGCTATTGGGTTTTAATATTTTTTGTTTAGCCTCCAAAGAGTATAGGAAGGTAGTCATTTGAGGGGTTCATGGACCCATCATGGCTCCAGAAAGTATAGAATTTATGAGGCTTTGAAATCTGTTCACCATTTCCCCCTTTTTATCAAGATTCTTATGGAATCTTTGAACCAAATGTTCAGCGACAGTCGCCATCCAGTCCTGGTCTCATGGCAAAGGGGGCAGTTGTTCTTGGAGGCAAATAGCCACAAATCCCATATGCTTTTCCAATCCCTTGCTCCTTCCCGCCTTCTGTCGCTCCGGGTGAATAGAGATCCGTTTTGGGTGGTTGCCTGCAAGCATTTAGAACCAGGCACTATGCAAGGAACTAGGAGATAGACAGAAACACTAAGCATATGTTATCAGGCCAATTCCGGTGATGCCCACGAGGTTGTGACACTAAACTTCCAAACCAAGGAACCCAGTTTCATGAGGTGTTTGGGTGTATATAAGCAAACTCAGCATCTGATCTTTGTATAGATATGTAAAAATATATCCATCACACAGTTTATGCCAATATAATTGTACAGGTATATAATTTATTGACAACAATGACAGTAATCACTGAGCAACCTTATCCTAATCAATGATTTTCCCATCTTGGGTTAACTCTCCATTTTCTCCCTCCCACCACTAAAAAACTTCGGTCTCTAAACATTTGTCTTTCCTTGTCTTTCTATATAAATGAGGACATACCATGTGGGTCCTTTTGTGATTGACTAGTTTAGCTCAGCCTAATGTCCAGCTCCATCCACACTGTAGCATGTCTCGACGTCATTTGATGGACTGACTGGAAAGGTATGTCCTGCATCTGCTCATCTGTGCACTTTTAGGTCCTGGCCACCTTCTGGCCATTGTGCCTAGGGCTGCCCTGACCATTGCTGTCCTTACCTGTTTTACTGCCCTCTCCTAATTTCCCTCCTTTTATTTTTTTGTTCTGATTTTAAAATTTTCACCAAACTCTCAGAAGAGCATTTTTTATTCGGGCTGTAATCCCAGATACCTAGCCTCGGGGGTGGGAGGTGGGGATTGGAATGGCTGGTGATTTGGGGTGCTCAGTGGACTAAGTAACCGCCTTTGTCACCTTCCTTTGGTTTAGATTTGCTCTCCTGCTGATTCCCCACCCCCACTGCACACACATGCAAGAGCACACACTCCTGGGAGAGGCAAATAGCCCTTTGCTCCACTGCTTCCACCTTTGTTTACTCTGTGCCTGATAGCTCTGTTCCCTTCCTTCCAACCCGCCGCTCCCCCTGGGTGAAATTTACAGTCCCCAAGGACGCAGTATCCCAAGTGCACAGTACTTGGGACGGTGCACATAAGGAGCTGTTACTCACAGGGCTCCAGCCAAACTTTGCTGCGATGTTCTTTTGAATTTCATCTGTGGCTTTTGTCTGTTCAGAAACCCTCCTGGAGGGTCTGAATGTCAGAATCAGGCTAAACCCCTCCTGCCCATGGTTGATCAGTCCTCCTAGCACCAGTACTCTGGCGGGTTGGTCAGGTTCTTGCCTTAGGTGTGGCATGGTGCACTTGGGGCAGGTGGCAGGTAGGCAGAATCTCTTTGGAATGAAAAACTAGCATTGAAATAAAACTCATTCCATCATTTCATGACCATAGCTGTTCTCAGCCATCTTCTATTGTAACAAAATTTGTCACTGCATCCCCACATTGTCGTCCTGTCGTCCCCCCCACTGTGGGATCTTTGCTCACTGGGCAGTGGACAATCGTAATCCTATTATTCCCTGAAGGGTAGGACCTTGGGCTATATCCTGCAAGCAGGCATAGGTACGCGGCCTGAAAGGTCACAGCCACATCTGGGCATGCAGAACCTGGTGGAATTGGAAAAGCTCAAAAGTTGAATGTTTCCCCCGGGGCCATGGGTGGTCTGCTTGGCACAGGTGATCCAACTCTGCCCCCGCCGTGGGACCGTGGAGCTGAGAGGGAACGGCAGTTGGGTTTCAAGTTTGGACCTGGGGGAAAAGTCAGGTGTCTTCCCTCCGTCCTTTAAACGGTGTCCAGGGCTGGAGTCTGCAGGCCCTCGCCCTAGAGAGAAGTGATCCTCTAGATAGAGGAAAGAAAGAGGGAAAAACAGCAGACTCCAGTCCCGCCCTCCCAGCGGGGCTCCCATCGCGGATTCTGCTTTTGGTATAGGCTTGTGTGCACGCACGCACGCGAGCGCATGCCCCACTGAGGGCGCTGCCATGTGGTTTCTCCTCCTCCCTTTTCATTTCAGCCTTGGGAAGAATGCTATTGTCAGTGCTGATTTGTGGGAGAAGCTGCCCGAGCCAGCTTGTTGTCATGGAAACCGTACACCCTGCCCCCATAGCCTGTTACCTTCTACTCCAGTTTGGGTAACTGCTGGTGAGCTGGATGGGGACTTGCATCTCCTAAGCTTCCTCCAAATCTAGTGCCAGTGTTCTTTTCAGTCTAGACGTCTGGTGGGAGGGGGCATTGTCTGGGAGGGGTCTACGGTGCGTGTTTGTTGGTCTGATTTGCGCCTATGTAGTCTTGACTGGTCAGCCTTGCTTGGGCTGTTGAGATGATGAAAGGTGTTGTCCTATGATACCTATTTTCCTGGAAGCGACCAGACTCAGGCACACTTGCCATTTTGTGGTGTGTGGAGTAGCAGTGTTAGCGACAATGGGCCCTTCTTCACTGCGGTGTTCCAGTGTGTGTGAGCTTCCTGGCATCCCTTTTCTGATAGCCTGGTGGTTACTTAGATCACACTCCTCCTCCCCCTAGTCCCTTGACCCTCTCCTGTTTGTATGTGGAAAGTTTTGTGCCAAATAACCTGATTCCCAACAGGAGTCTTTTGGGCTATATCTCTCCCCATAGGGGCTGGTGGCCCAGATTATTTCTGCGCCTGCCCCCACCCCTGACTGCCAGGAGGAAAGCAGGGCAATAGAATTCAGGCACGGTCTGGGCTGTGGAGGAGGCGAGATCATGTTCAGCAGGCACTTGGATAAGCATCTGAACTGGTGGTATGCGGAGCAGACTGAATTCCTGTGAGGTTGTGGCTGCCCGCAGACCTGCCACCAGTAAAGGTGAGGGAAGAGGCGCAAGGTCTTAGGGAAGTGGCTTTATGGCTTTAGGACTTCCCATATATGGGCCAGCACCTCCTTTGCCCATCCCTTATTTCCGGGCCAGGGAGGGGCACAGGATTCCTTGGGCGCTAGCCGGCTCTTTCTTTCCGGCAGAGACTGGGAGAGGGTGCAGCTAAGGGCCCGACTAGGGGAATAAGCCAAAACCCAGCCCTCTGCCATTGAGTCAGTTCTGACCCCTGGGCTTTCAGAGGTTGTCCGTCTTTACAAGGTCACTCAGTGTCACACCTGCCTGCCTTAGAGCAGCTGGGAAGTTTTAAACTGCCCTTCTCGCAGCGCGCAGCCAAATGCTTCTCCCACAGTGCCACCAGGGCTCCAGGACAGGAGGACTCTCACTGCCACTGAGTCCTTCAGACTCAGAGTGACCCTCTAGGACAGGGTGAAACTGCCCCGGGGGTGTTCCGAGACTGTAACTCTTCATGGGACTAGAAAGCCTCATCTTTATCCATGGACTGGCTGGTGGTTTCGAACTGCTGGCCTTTCAATTAGCAGCTCAACACACAGACACTCCACCACCAGGGCTCTTGTTGAAAGTATAGAAGAGTGCTGAATCCTCAGGAGTAGACCAGCTAGGAGCGGTGATTAGAGGTGTAGAAAGGAGACCGCTCAGAAGTTTGGAGGAATGGCAGTGGACATGAAAGAAACAGTCTCTGGCCTGTTTTTGTTTTTTTTTCATGGCGACCTCATCAAATAGCTAATTCTACAATCAAATGAAGTGCCTCATTGCCAGTTTTTTGGGTTTTTTTGTTTTTTTCAAATGCAATCTGAAGGGGTGGGGAGTAGATCCCCCAACGTTTTATTCTTTGCTTCCCAGGATGGAAGGCTCATTTTGGAAGAGCTTCGGAAAGCTGGTGGGGAAATTGCACTGTCCATTAATTTCCTTTTACACCAGCTTGTCAAAGCCCCCCTTCTGCCCTTGTCCAGTTCTGGTCTATTACAGTCAGATTTTCGGAGGGCTAACGGCGTGTAAAATAGATATGCAAGAGCCCTCCTTAAGGATCCTTCCACTTAATGAGATATTTACAAGAAAGCTGCAGAAGAGTAAGACACACCTCCAAACCAGAGCTCAGGCAGAATGACTGACCCCATCACTAGCTAGCCACCTTTCCTGACTCCCGGTGTTCAGGAATTTGCACTGGATCCAGAAAAGGGGTGGTGCTTTCTCTGGGCTGGGCAGGGGAACTGAGTTTTAAAACCCTCTTCCAGGAGGGGGGAGCGGGGAGGGAGGGGAAAAATGAGGACCTAATGTCGGGGGTTTAAATGGAGAGAAAATGTTTTGAGAAACGATGTACAAATGCGCTTTACACAATTGATGTGTGTATGGATTGGGATAACAGTTGTATGAGCCCCTAATAAAATGTTAAAAAAAAAAAAAAAAAAAAAAAAAAATAATTAATAAAAGAAATAAATAAATAAAAACCCTCTTCCTGTGGAACATGTGGGAATTGGTTGATGGGAAAAGGTGAGAAATTATGTAACCGTGTGTGCTAGAGCGCCTCTGAGTGAAGTTCTGTCCGACCACGACTCTGAGGCCGGTCGTGGCAGCCGACCGTAACCTTCCTGTCTCGGCTCTGCATTTCACATGCCTTCCGCTTCCCCGTCTCCGTTCTGCATTCACATCTAGGCTGAGGCTGAGGTGGCCTCCTTGAATCGTCGGATCCAGCTGGTTGAAGAGGAGCTGGACCGAGCTCAGGAGCGCCTGGCCACTGCCCTGCAGAAGCTGGAAGAGGCAGAGAAAGCGGCTGATGAGAGTGAGAGGTATGTGGAGGGACCTTGATGGAGTGTGGATTTAAATAAAAGCCCAGAATGGCTCTGCCCAAGAGTTCTTTGTAGACCTATAGTAACTAACCGCCTACAGGATCTTATTTCCTTCCTCTTGAAGACCGACAGAAAGGGGAGCCCTAGACCTGGTGGCCCCTTGGTAATGGAAAGTTCCTATAAGTTGACATCATAATCCTTCAGTGAAGTCACTAAGACCGATGTGACTCAAATGGGTCACATCCTTTTTTTGATTCTCACTGCTAGAGACCCTACAGGACAGGGTAGGACTGCCCTTGTGGGTTTTAAGACTAACTCTTTATGGGAGTCATAAGCCTATTTTTCTCCACCGGTGAGGCTGGTGGTTATATGGCAACCCACCATATAACCACTTTGCCACCAGGGAGCACCTTTGGAGAGGAGGTTCTCAAATTGAGCCCTAGACCAGCAGCATCGGCAACGCCTGGGAACTGGATAGAAACAAAGTAACCCGCAGCCCTGGTCGTCTGTCTGTGTGAGATTTTTGGTCGTCTGTCTGTGTGAGATTTTGGAGCTGGAGCCCAGCCGCCTGTTTCCACCAGCCCTTGCAATTCCGGCCCTCGACTTGGGATAACTTTTGTGGTGGGCAGTTTTCAAAATATCTGGTTCCCATGTCAGTTCAAAGAAATTAGAATTTAAAAAAATTAGAATCCATTGTGATCGGTTCCTGGGCATCGATGTTTTTAAAGTTGCTTTGTTAATTTTAATGTGTGTCCAGGATTGAGAACCATGTCCTTTAAGCCAAATCACATCTCATGTTTGTGGAAATAAGCAGTGGCCTCCTTGCCACACGTGAGTTAAACTAGGACAAAGGTCTGTAGCTACCGGCGCGGAATTGAGACGTGCCCGTTGGGAGCCCAGACATTCCGGGACTTCATGTTCCTGTGTTTCGTTGTATTTCACAGATACGGAACTTTTTACACCTTGTGTCTCTGTGTCACACTTTAATAATTTTATAATATTCCAAACGTTTCCCCACTGCTAGTGCACATGTAATAGACTACGACAGAATGTGAACATAACTTTTTTTTAATCTAAATGCCCATTGGTTTATTTTTATTTTTTTTAATTATTTTATTGGGGGGAACATACCTTTTATATACACCCAGAAGTACATACATTCGTGGTTCTTGCTGCATGGTATTGTTTGCTATACGGCAATGGCCTGGTCTGGACCAGATCCCACAATATCCCCGAGGCATGTCTGGACAGTTATCGCAGAATGAAGCTGTGGAAATGAATACAAAACTATAGAAAACGAGGGGAAAGCGTTGTAGAATGTTATGAGGGGTGAGGGTCTTGGGGATTTTGCATCTGCCCACATAAAAGCTCTCTGGAAGGAACATGAAGAGGTTTGCCTGTAATGAGTGGTGTTTGAAGCAGGGAGGCTTGCCCTTAGATCATGAACACAGATATTTAATTTTGTGATCGGCCTGCTTTTTGTTTTTATGTACCTCAATCATAATCGATAGGCCTGTTGGACCCTCTGTCGTACAGAATCTTCCTGCCTCTGTTCTGGACTGGAAGGGTTACCCTGTCACCCTTTTATAGTTGGTGTTTTCTACGAATTGAGCAACTGAGAGAAGGAAAGTGATTTGGGACAAAGTAAGGCAAGGCCGTGGGGTTTTCTCTGCATAGCAAGCAGAGGGGAACGGGCTTTCACGGCTAGCCCTGGGTTCCGTGGAATGGCGCGGACGCCAACCTCCTCAGGTGGTCCTTTGGTTTCTGACAGAGGCATGAAGGTGATTGAGAACCGGGCTTTAAAAGATGAAGAAAAGATGGAGCTCCAGGAAATCCAGCTGAAGGAAGCGAAGCACATTGCAGAAGAGGCCGACCGGAAGTATGAGGAGGTGAGGTCCCCTGTGTTGGTGACACTCTCTTCAGGGGTGATGAGGCTTCTGCAAAGAGCCCTCAAAAAAGGGAACTCACACCTTGCCCTGATAGCGTCAGGGTTACTTGTTTGGCTGCTGAACACAGGTCAGCAGTTCAAACCCAGCAACTCCTCCGAGGGAGACAGTTGAAGCGGTCTGTGCCCGTAAAGATATACAGAGCCTCGGACGCCCGATTAGGGTTCCTCTGAGCTGGCATCCGCGCCCTGGCAGTGGGTTTGGGTTTTGGGGTCTTCACTCCCTGAGCTGCAGCCTGGGTGTTTTTCAATAGGTGGCTCGTAAGTTGGTCATTATTGAAGGGGACTTGGAACGCACAGAGGAGAGAGCTGAGCTGGCAGAGTCGTGAGTATCCTACTTCCCAAATCTATCGTGCCATTTTTGTCCCCTTCCCCCTTTGGCCTGGGCACTGCTGTGACGGAAGCAGCATTCCTTCAACCTTGTTACATAAGGCCCGGAGGGTGGGAGGTATCGGTGCTTCTGAGCCCCTGCACGTGCTGAGCGCTGCGCTCTGCCGTTCTCTTCGCATGTGACCAAGAAAGCTTCCGGGTTCTTGGTTTGCAGGGAGGGCTTACAGACGGAGGGGAATAGCTTCCGGGTTCTTGGTTTGCAGGGAGGGCTTACAGACGGAGGGGAATAGGGATGGATGGGGAGGTTCACCGAGAGACCATTATTGGGGCCTTCTGGAGGCATGGATGGAGCTCTGACTTAAGATCTGCTCTCTGTCCCCCTTGGCTGGCCCCCTGGGTCACGTCCATGAACTGCCCCCCTGCTGCCACCTCTGGGCCTTGTGTAACAAAGTCAGCGCTGCTGCGCGGGCGGCTCTATGTGCGTCCCTTTCAGCCCTCGCCCCGCCATGACACTTCATCCCCATCGTGGTGTTGGCTTTCCTTTGTTTTTGGAAGTTTTGTTTGGGGGGGCGGAGAAGGTTTTCCATTTGCTGCTTGTTTTCTTGCTGTGTTCCTTTTTGACCTCCCCACCACCTGGCTTGTGTCATCCCCGTGACTGTCACTAACAGCCGTTGCCGAGAGATGGATGAGCAGATCAGACTGATGGACCAGAATGTGAAGTGTCTGAGTGCTGCTGAGGAAAAGGTACTAACCCTTAGACCCCCAGGGAGGGTCTGTGTGTGGTGTTGTCTGTGTTCTTGCTTTTGTTTTGCAGCCGCCTCCCCTCCACCGGTTGGTTTGTTGAGCGCTCTCTCATCTCTTCACGGAATGCTCCATCCGCTTCCACTTCCTTGACATTCTCCATCTCTTCTTTCCCTAGTTGCTTCAGCTGCCTCTCCACAGGGTCTCTCCTTCCCTCGGGTGATGGTGGGGCACTGTTGGGGGCTGGGCATCCACGCCCACCTCCACTCCACTGCGGGCAGCAGGCCTACCTTGGTCTGGTAGTGACTTCCTTTCAGATGTTCTTCCTTGGTACCCAGCCATCCTGAGTCCAAGCCCAGGAGCGTCCAGTTCCTAATGTGCTCTGTGGCGGAGGGAGGAGGGCGGGTGCTTGCTCAGACCACCTGGGAACTTCTCTTCCCCCAGGATGTCTTTCCACCCTTCTGCATATAGGTTCAATTCACGTCTATGTGTCTCTCTCTCTCTCTCTCTCTTTTTTTTATTCTCTGCCTTTCTCCCTTTCCTCTCCTGTGACACTTAAAACATTCACAGTAAGTGCTCTGAGCTGGAGGAGGAGCTGAAGAATGTCACCAACAACCTCAAGTCTCTTGAGGCTCAGGCGGAGAAGGTAGGGGCCAGTTTGTGACAGTGACAGGCCCGCGGGGGTCTGGGCGCAGGCTGGAGGTGCCCCTCCCTATGCCGCACGCCTGCCTTCTAACCAGATTCTGCCCGCTGTTCATCGTGGGGACCGTTGATGGCTTCGTTGAAATAGCGGCCAGGTCTCAGTTGGCTGGAGCGGTGTTCTCCCCAGTCTGGCACTGCTGAACTGCAGGCAGCAAGCCTGGGCCCTGACGGGCTGTCCAGCAGACAGGCGGGAGCAGCAGCTAGAATCAGGGCTTCTGAAAGCCGTTTACGCAGCACTCCGGGCAGTGGACTTTTCTTGGCCATGACGGAACTGTCACCGCCATGTGGCTTTGAGACATCACTACTGTTCATTAAGCAAGAGGACAGAAAAACACCTCCCTTTGTAGTTCTGTCCTAGATCAACATTTAGGGCCATTTAAAAAATAAAAACAAAGGATTCTGATCCGAGATTGCCATGGCCCTAGGTATATAGATAAATGAGTGGGTCTCGAACCTCTGGTGCTCCGTGGAGTAAGTTTTGGGCTGGAATCACAAGGGAGGCATTGCAGAACTGCCACCTAGTTCTTCTGACAGAGAAAGGTGAGGCTGTCTGCTCCCATAAAGACCTGCAGTCTTAGAAACCCTATATAGTAAGGCCACTGCGAGTCAGACACAACTTGGTGACTGGGTTTGGGGCTTGTGCAGAAACGGGCCTCATTCAGTACCTTAAACCAGAGGGTATTTGACGTGACTGAAAGTGAGTGTGTGCCGGGGAGGGAGGTGTTTGTCGGTGTAATTTTTACGCTGTTTTTATTCTGCTCCCTTTGCAGTACTCTCAGAAAGAAGACAAATACGAGGAAGAGATAAAGATTCTTACCGATAAACTCAAGGAGGTGAGCCGAGGGGTTCAGGGGAAGGGCCCATGCATTGCCAGGTGGAGACACGGCGTTCAGGTGCACTCAGAGCTGGCTGGCGGTGGCTCTGAAAGGGCAAGGCTGAGGGACTCGAGGTCCACCTGTTGTCTTCCTCTGCTTCTGACTGGCTCTGTGTTCCCCCAGGCAGAGACCCGTGCCGAGTTCGCTGAGAGATCGGTAGCCAAGCTGGAAAAGACCATTGATGATTTGGAAGGTACGGAACCTAGGACATAGATTAAACTAGGGACATCTGAAAGAAGGCCTTGCCCAGTAGCCGTTACTGTAGCTCATTTCCTGGACACCAAGGGCAGTTGGCAGTGGCTGGGCGTCTGTCCTGTACCCTGCTTGCCCTCTATTACAGCGAGGTGACGCGGTCCGACTCTAGACTTGGATTTTTTTCCACTTAATCTTTTTCTTTAAAAGAGACTTCACCTCATACCCTAAGCGTTGCCCCTTGCCCTATAAGGAGGCTGGTGATCACTCCAATTTGATAGTCTTAAATCTTCCAGCTTGTGGGTTGAATTGGAGAACATGTTTTTAAAAGGCAGCAAGGGTGCCTGTAACCCCGTGACTCCTTCCTGTTAATCCCGCTCGCCGCTGAAGCTGTGGGGAACTCCCCAAGACAGGAAGCTGTGCCTCGACTGTCCCAGAGCTGACCAGCACCAGCAGCTGCCCACGTTCTTCCTGTCCCCACAGCTGGACAATGGCGTGCACCCCGACAAGGGAAAGTGTGCTTTGCCTTGGGGGCACTCTTGAGCGAACTTGTTCCTTTGGTCACTCTGGGTAGCAGGATAGTCCTGCTGTGGAAAATTTTGGAGAAGCGACCAGGGATAACGGCCGCACTTTGTGGGCAGAGAAGGTGTGTCTGAATGTTGCTGTGGGCCTTTCTCCCTTCTCTGTTTGCACGGAAGTGAGCATGATGTCTGCTAAGAAGTGAAGTAACTGAGTTGGCCTGGCACCCTCCTGAGTGCATCTGGCAATGGGACCTGCTAGTCGTGACTGTCCCCAGGTTCTCAACCCTGGCTGTATTCACTTAGCAGTCTGGAGTAGTGCAGTGGGTCCGAGGGCACAGCGGATCTGGAAGTGGCCGGTCCTGGCTGCCAGTGTAGACGTCTAACTGTGGTAGAGTCACAGGTCACTTACTGTCCTTATTTTCTAATGATTCCTTCTCTCCATCTGCTTCTGACACCTTTCACTCTGCCCCTGGTCCCTCCCTGTGGTTCCTGTGCCTGTCCAGATGAACTCTATGCCCAGAAACTGAAGTACAAGGCTATTAGTGAGGAGCTGGACCACGCCCTCAATGACATGACCTCTATGTAACTATCTGACAGCAGAATGGGGCTGGGCTTGTGGCGTGTGGGTGGAGGGGGACCGGCTGGGCACAGTGTGCTTTGATTTTCATCCTCTGGGAACTAGACTCTCTACCTCGACCTTCAAGATCTTGGTGCTGGTTACTTGTGTGGCAAACACTGGGGAGCCGGCTTCGTGCTGGCTCAGTGACAGAGTCCTGCCCTCTGTATAAGTGCTTTCTCCTCGAAGTCCCTCACCACACACGCCTTCTCGCTTCATTTCTCACAAGGGACAAAGTCAGTAGTATCCGGAGAGCCAGTGAATTGAGCTGGCTGAGTGGATCAAGCAGGCAGACCTCCTGGGTGTTTTGTGCCCTGATACTAAAGTTTGGGGGCCAACCCCCAAGGTAGGAGACCCCAAATTCGCCTACGAATCCAGCTGAGTCCCAGAAGGAAGCCCGGGAGTAAGCAGCACCCAAGAGAGTGATTGGGGGTCTTTATCTGTTTGCTGTGGCCCCCTGGTCCTGGACGCTAACCTGCCTCTCTCTGTCTCTCCCACTAACCCTGAAAAGAAGCCAAACGTCCAGGGTGTGGTGTCTGGCTCTTTTTTATCACCTCTTCCTTCCTCCCAGATATGCTGCCTCCGCGGTGCTAGTCCTTTTTACCCAGCGTCTCCTCCTTACTCTTTTATACAGATAACCTATCACCGTTTCTGCCCTGTTCTGGATCTCTGTCCCCCTTTCCTCGGGGAACCAACGCCCCACTCTCACTCTGGATTCCATTTGGGTCAGCCCGGCTGGTCCCCCAAGGTGTTCAAACAGACTGTAGGGGTGGAGGGGCGCACAGAGCAACTCACGTGTTCTTCCTCCACCCCTGCCCGAGATTAAAATGTTAAGCTGTCGGATGCCTCATGCCGCCACACTGCATTTGTGTCATTGCCAGAGCTGCCAGTGTCCCCAAGCAGGACCCCTGGGATATGGGGGACCAGCTACCCCCACATTTCCCTGTCTTAACGCCATCAAAGCCATTTTTGTGTGTGTCTTGTTATTTCTGGACCTTGAAACCCGGCTGACTTGAATCTGCCTAAACGTGGGTCAGCAGCTGCCCCTCGGGTTGGGGCTCCAGGTGGGAACGAGCTCACCTGGGTGCTTTGATGGCAGGTTCTTAAGTCGCCCCACTCACGTTGCTGTTGTTCCTTCCGATTTTTCTCTCAACACTTGACTACCCTTTGCCAGTGTTGAGGTGGAGTGTCCACCGGCGCTCAGAGATGTCTGCCTAAACAAATGCATTGCTTCACCACACCATCCCCAGTCGTGGGGAGAAGCAGCGGGAATCAATAGAATGACACTTGAGTGTTTTCCTCTTAAGCCTCTCTCACACATTTAGGGCCCGGTACCATTGGTCTGTTGTGTTGGGAAAACAACCAACCAGCCGTGAATGTTTCAAATGATGTGCCCACGGGAAATGCTGCACGGTTAGGTACCAGTCCAGTTGTTGTTGGCTCACACGTGGGATCATGCGGCCGCATTTCAGGATCCCTCGTTCCCATGGATGCACACAGGCCATGGCTTCACCGGAGCGTGCAGCTGCCAATTATCCTTACCAAGTTCTTAAGTCTCTCAGGAAAGTGTATTTAAGGTGTGCTTTCATACGGATACAGCCAGGCAGAGAAGTTCTTCTTAATCTTAGAATTTCGATTTCATATCAAATTCCACTTCCTTCAGTCCATACGCTCTATTCAGCTGCCAGTTATTGACACCTCACAGGCACATGGTCTTAAGGTGGTCCGCTAAGATGTCCAAAGGTCAGTCATTTGGGCTTCATTTTCCATGGCTTTTACCAAGTTCAGGACCCCTGGTGGTGTCGTGGGCTATGTGTGGGGCTGCTAAACCACACAGCTAGCAGTTCAAACCCACCCGTGGCTCAGAGGCAGAAGCTGAGGCTCTGAGCTCCGGGGAAGGTCTACAGCTCGGGAAACAGTCGCTGTGAGCCGCCCCACCCCAGAGCAGTGAGCGGTGGTGCTGCTCTTTTCGTTCACCACCTTCGTGTGCTCCTGTGTGCTGCCCAGGTTACTATCGCCTTCGAATGGATGCATTTTAAAATTTGTTTTAGTCGTACTCTTAAATTCTGTCTTCAAATGAGTTTGACAGGGCAGTATTATTATTATTTTTAATCATTTTATTGGGGGCTCGAACAACTCTTATTACAATCCATCCATCCATCGTGTCAAGGACATTTATACATTTGTTGCCCTCATCATTCTCAAAACACTTGGTATCAGCTCCTCATTTTTCCCCTCCCTCCCCACCCCACCTCCCTCATGAACCTTTGATAATTTATAAATTATTATTATTTTGTCATCTCTTACGCTATCCGACGTCTCCCTTCTCCCACTTTTCTGTTGTCTGTCCCCCTGGGAGGGGGTTATATGTAGATCCTTGTGATCAGTTCCTCCCTCCTATTTTTTTTTTTCTTGGAATGCACACTGAATTAGTTATGAAACATTTCTTTCCTTCCTAAAGTTCACTAGGGTGTATACACTACCTGGAAACTCACATACCACTGAGTGAGCCACACCGGGAGGGCGGGCGGGGAATGCTAGGTGCGGTTTTCGTTTGTCGGCTCGACTAGAGTAATGGTGGTGAGAAGATGGCACGCATGACAGGGATTTTGTAGGCCTTGGCCACTAGACACAGGAGGAAAGTCCCAGTTTCCTGGTTCTCAAGCCGAGGACAGTGGTGATGTTAGAGACGTAGGGAACTTGATGGTCCTGGGCTGGGAAGGGGGAGAGAAGCAATGACAATCTCGAGGGGCAAGCGGAACAAAAAGCACCTAGCAGGAGTCCAGGCTAAAGTGGTGGGGGGTGAGGGGCAGGCAGCAGGAGGAGCAAGGTGGAAATCTGTGTAGAGGAGGACGCGGAAAGGCAACTGGTGGGAGAGCGAGAAGAATGAGTTACTTGGTGTTTACAAGCTAAGGGCTGGATGATTTCCAGTGGTTCTCAAAGACAATAGACAAGTGCAACAGGAAGATTAAAAGACAGGACGTTCATCGACACGTTAGTCGTTTTGAGGGGGTGCACTTTGAGCATGGGAAGTGAAGGTGGCGGACATGCTCCAGTGGATGGAAGGAAGAGTTGACGGCAAGAAAATAAGGGCAGGGAGGGTAGCCTTCTGGAGAAATGCTGCTGTCCAATAGACCTTTTGGTGCAATGGTGGGGATGTCTATAGCATTGGGAGCCGGGAGCCACAGAGCAGGCACAAAGTGGCCAGTCTGGCTGCTAGCTTCATTTAATGATAATTTAAATTTCCTCGTGTAGCTGGTGGCTGCTGTATTGGACAGTGGAGTTCTGGGTGGTTAATATTTAGGTGGAAGGAGTCGTCCGTGGCACAGAGAAAAGCTTCCTAAGGAGGAATGACACGGGGAAGATGGGAAGAGATGGGGAGGAAGGTAAAGCTGCTGTGTTTCCTCAGGGCCATGATTTGTATGGACAAGGGTAGGGATGAGCAAACCAGGGAGCCGTGAGATGCTGCGTGTCATGTCTTCCATTTTTGTAGAAGATTGTGTGTTACTTGCGTGTCAACGAGCTATGGGGATAGGGCCAAGCCTCCGTAATACTCAGGGGAAAGCACATGACTGTCTAGGTCAAGGCTCATGGGTTAGTTTCCGTTCTTGCCTTTGTTGTTATAACCCTTGTAGGAATGAGGAACAAAGAGGTTTGACTGTTACCTGATGGCAGGACTGCCCTGATTGGTTGACTAGAGTTAGATTAGCCCCATCCTGATCTTCCCGGGAAGAGTCAAACCAAAATCAGTTCACCGTTCCTTCCTGTGTTTCGCTGACCTGAGGCTTTATAGCTGGCTGGGTTCTTTACTCGCCCTTCTTTGTCTAGTGGCAGAATGAGCTGGTCCTGATTTCGGCCACTGACGCATGAAGGATTTAACATTCATGGGATTGATACCCTGACTGGGCAAGACTCAAAAAGAACAGCAGACCAGATGAGTTCTCCGTCTCATCTCCCCTTGTTTTTGCTGTGACCTGGGGGCCAGACCTTTAGCGGATGGACTGATTCTCAGTCACTAGGAATGGATTGATGGCAGTGAGTTTGGTTTGGGGTTTAAGGAATGCGAGAGAGGGAAATAACAGCAAAACCACGACTTCCTGACCTGGGGCAGTTCTTAGCGAACTCTGCCTCTGAGCTTCAGTCAGGTAAGAAAATGGCCTCATTTCTTCCGTGTGTCTTTATCTCGTTCCTGAATGCAGACAAAGCCCTTGTTGGCTAGCCTGGTAGGAATGGGAGTCACACAAACAGTTGGGTGTGGACTTTACAGAAAGCCGGCCTATAGATGGGGTCTGTGTATAAGGC